ACTTTTAACAGTAAGAACATGTAATGCACCCTCAGCACAACAAACAGTTTAATTTTATTAATAGTAAAAATAAGAATTTATCCGTACCTTTGAATTTGTTGCAGGAAATGCATAAACCTTGATGAAAATGAAAACATAGGAGAGAGTTTTAGATCTGACTATGAGTAGGACTATGAGTTTTCTCAGTAGGAGTACTACACATGCTTCACAATGTGACAGGTCACACTAACTCTGAAAAAGTTGTAGCTGACACCTGTCACCAACTAAAGATTTTTTTCTGGAAATCTCAGATAAAACTATTTCAGGAACACACACAAAAAAAGAGAATTTCAAAGAAGGTATCTTCAATAGGGCTTGACATCAATTTGTGAAGTGTTTTCCTAATTCTGAAAAAGCTCTTGTGTGTTACATCATGTTTATCTAAAGTTATAAATTTGTCATGAGGGAATAAGTGCCACTCTATTCCCAGCCAAAACTCTTGGTCGTAGTCATACTCTTAGTCAGACCTAAAGCTCTCTCATGATGGAAGATTACAATAAGCAGTCTACATGTATACATGCCACAAAAAAATCTTGAAAATTTCATTTAACCTTTATACATATGTACAGTATACTGATAATTGCAACATTTCTTAATTTGGTACATAATTGTTTTACTTGCAGAAAACATGTTACTGTTTAATAATAGGAACTGCATTTTCACCAACATTTTGATGTTAAAAACAGATATTGACAATAGATTGAGCACTGTTCTCTATCATCATTAAATAGTTTCTGTGATTTTATTAAAACATGCAACTTTAGAGAGGACTTCCATATTCTTCTCAACCATCAATGAAAGAAAGTAACCTTAAACCCCATATCAAGTGCCATCTGCAAACCTTATGTTGCACAGGTGACTTGCGCGGGTGTACATTGTATCAATTGACTATCATGTGACATAAGAGACCACAAATCACACCACCATGGTACACAGTTTTTTTCTGGTTTACAGTAAGAGGTCATAAATCACACCAACATGGTACACAGTTTTCTATAACCCCACAAAGATGGGCAAATCAGGGAAAATGAAAAGAATTTGCCAGTATAGAAAAAAATTGATTTTAATTAAAGTGTTTTAAGCTTGTTTCATTTTCGTTTCCTTTGTTTTTGTATTATTACAGCATTATTTAATATACATGGTTCGAAGTTAGCCACAACTCAGTCTCGTATAATATAATCAATACCAACCAGAACTGAATACTTTCAGTAAAAGACAATCAACCAAATATCAGCCTTGGTTGGTAAATATCTTAATATCTTCTTGCCTAAAACTGCTACAAGATTTGAGCTTCAATAATAACCTGTCTAGGCATCAGAATCATTACAGAGACTCAAGATAAATACCATAAGCTTGTCATAGATTATTCGTCTAGAGTGATTCTCTTGCTTGTGTGCAAAACGTAGATTTCTCATGTCCTGGGAATGAATATGAAATTATTTTATGAGAAGTAACAGTTTGGGAAGGTGGAGGGGGGGGGAGGAACCTGGACCCTTCACTTATCCCCTCTATAAGTTTCCTTAACCTTGCTTAAAAGCAGAATCTTGATGCACTGATTGTAATTCAATAATAAAAGATGGGGTATACTAAACTAATTTTTGAACAGCGAGCAAAAAAAATCAAGGGCCAGTATTTTCTTAAGGCAAGAAGTACTACTGAGACAACCTAACAAACAATTGTGGTAAAATTATTAACTGATAAAAATGATCAGCATTAAAAATAGCACCCCTTTTCTAGTAAATCATTGAAAAGAGAAAAGTCTACATAATTTCTTTTAACAGGTAGCAGTAGTTTGCAAAAATACCAGACATACAGTAAGCATAAACCAAAACAAAAAGAATATTCACAGAGAATTAGTATGTATATTTAACGATGAATTTATAAACTCAGCCCAGGCTGAATATTCTATGAAGTACTGAGCATTAATAGGTACTGACTAGTTTCTTGACATTCAAAAGACCATACCTTGCAGTACAGTTCCAGACCATAGGCATTTTCACCTCTACTGGTGGTCCCACCAATCTTTTCTACTCGATAAATGGTACCAAGAGGTACTTCTACTGTAAAGGGTGGGTCCTAATAAAAGTGAAATGATTTCAAGAATGATATTCAACATCCAATATTGGTGGTCCAGGCAGGTAAATATTTAATACTGTAAGTTGTATTTACAATATATCTTACTAGAATCCTAGAAAATTATGAACAGAACAGAGCACCTCTTTCACTTGTCTATCAATGATTGATACAGCTGCAATGGCATATTTTGGGCTTTGCATTTCTACATCATTGAAATTTTTACAGGGACACAGTTCTATTCTACCTTAAATTCTATCCAATATTTTTTAAAGTAAAATAACAGTACCCCCCAGTTGGGTAAATTTGTCTGATGCTAAGATAATCAATAGTTTCATGCTGAAGGTAACAACACCGATAATCATGACTCATCATTTCCCTCATCCTTTTGTACCACATATGCTCCATTCCACAATGAAGTACAAATATTCAAAACATGCTACTAATTCTATATTCTGAGGATCACACTTGGTTTGGTCAAAATAATAATTTAGAGTACTAATTAGTTATCAATACAACTTAAAATGCCACAGTAAATTTAAACTCCACCACAATAAAAGTAATGCCAATACATAGCAACAGTTGTGAGCAACATTATCAATGCACTCAACATAGTAACTCTCATTTAAAACACAATACACTCAACATAATAACTCTCAGTTTAAACACAGTTTAGCTATGTATAAATTCTTACATCATCTGCCTTGAAGTGAAGCCTGTAATTTGTAATCTGAAGTGTACCACGTACTGGTCCAGAGAAGGGACATAAATAGGTAACTTCTTTTGCTGTTGATGCAAATCAAAGCGTGCTCAAAAAAGCTACATCACACCAGCATAATGCAGCCTTAAATCAATAAGACCTCTTCCTTGTAGAGGAGTGTATGTGTGAGCCTTCAAGTTCAGTATCACACTCTTTGTCTTATCTTACCAAAAATTCCTAAGCTATTATGCTCAGAATAGAAGCAGTCCACATAGTTAATGATATGAAAGTCTGGAATCCAATCACTAAGTCACAAATGACATACCAATTTCACATCTCAGTTTTTGTTAATAAAGTAATTTGTAAGATTTGAGCATCTTATTTTGTTTACCAGTAAACATAAAGTGATAACTACCATTTGCTTGAGTTTTCTCCCCATCAAGCAGTTTGAGGTCACCTTGAGAGCTGGGGTCAGCCTAAAATAATCATATAACAATCATTAGTAAAGTACAAGTTAACTGCTGCCTTCTTCTTTGGAAGGAGGGTGCGCAGAATGTCCAAGGGCTTTCACTATAGTCAGGTAGCTGTAAGATGGAGAACCACCACTAGGGTTGGCAAATCTCCACAACCAGCTACAAAAGTGTTCAGGACTGCTAAGAAAAGGCTGCTACTGAACTTCTCAAGAACTAAAAGAAACCAGCTGTGATGAAATTTCAACAATCCACATAACCAGAAGGGCTGCTCATTTTCTGGCAATAACAACTGTGTTTAATTGCCTTATTTAACATAAATGTGGTCAGATCAATTTATATAGTGAAATGAATATAATGATAATACAAATACATAATACAAATAAACATAATGGTTTTTTCATTAACCAGCTCCCTAACTAAGATTGAAAGTGAATACCCGAGTTTATTTTGAAACTTACCCTTTTTAAACTACTGATAGTTTACTTTGGTAAAAGTTATCAAATAATTGTTTTGGACATGATCATTGAGAATCACAAGAGCTTCTCCAGATTCAATGAAGACAATTTAGCTCCCTAAAGGTTACCACTCTAGATTCATCAAATATGACTTACTCTATCTCCTGAATTTCCATCTTCAGAGGGATCATTATTAGGTGAATGTGCTCTGTGTTGGGCAGAGCTTCCCTCAGGACCTTTTCCTTGTGAAACTCCTTTCATCTGGATATTGTTCATGTACAAGTTCTTAGAATTTGTTGTTTACATCACCTTCAAAGCTACAAGCTTTATTGAAAAAAATATATTTACTAAGTACACATTAACCTTAGGAGCAAAAACATGAAAAAGTCATTTTTGTCTGAATTTATGAGGCTACAAGCATAATACAAACTTAAATGTTGGATCCATCACAGAATTGAAACTGCAAGTTACACACCTTTTTTTTGGCCGAGCACATTTTGAGAATTGAATGGATAGTTTGGGTGGATGAACCACCACTAGAGGTAAGACACCAGAGCAAAATGTATATGCACTTATCAAGGAAGTAACATACGGCCAAAAGTTGCCTAATCATTGGATACTATTCACAAAAATGTGCCAAAACATAGTAGGACTAAAATCATTATGTTTGAAAATACACGAACCTTTTTCGATTCTGAGTTATTTGCTTAGAAAATTTTGAAAAAAATTGAGCCTTTACTACGTCGAATTACTTTAAACAGCTTAGTATCTGGGTTTTTGACATTTATACACACTTAAACATTGTATTCTTCAAAGAGAAATAGGTAAGTATGTCACTCCCTCCCACAAACAAAACATCTACCAACACAACTTTACACCTGTTTCGTAGCCTGAACATCAGTTAGCAGTCGAAAGGTAAGAGTAAGAAAAAAATATCCACAATAGTTCAAAATTGGAGTCGGATTTCTCACCAGAATTATATTGTTCCAGCAATTCTTAAAGAGTTTTCTGAGCCATATTGGATATTTGGGATCAGCTCAGCCTCGGTTGGAATGTGGTCGTGAGAAGTATGGGTACGAATGACATCAGAGATATATCTGCTTAACTTTTTCGGTCACGCGAATTTAAAATTGAACGCAAATGGTTAAGATAGATTCAGACAGAAAAATTAGACAAGTCAGAAATTGTTTGATTTACGGAATTTCTAATAAAAATATCAAAAAATTTCGATGCGATTTCTTTAATTAAAATTAAAAAAACTCCTATTATACGTCATCAGCGGCAAGCCCTTTGAGGACTGGGCATGACGTTCGCCACGAAAACGAGGTTGGATTCTCAACGATGGCGACAGCTGAGACGCGAACAGTGAGTATTTCCTTCGAATATTTTGTTCTAATTTAACAACAAAAAGATTATGTGTTCTGCTGAAGAGTGGTTAGATTATTAAATTAAGGATTGCTCAAAATTTTGGTCTAAATTTTCCCTCGTTATGTTGTGGTTCGTGAACAAATTCTTTTTCGGGAAATTTTTGCTCGTCTGAACAATGGAAATTGACATGAAAACAGAAGCTCTAAGCCAAGCAACACCCAAAAGACCATTCGTATTGATGGCAAGATAGCAGAAAAATTGCTCTAGTTTAATGTCAAATTAATGGAAATTGGTCTCAACGTATTTTGAGGTTGTTCAGGAATTGTTGTGAAACATCTGTCTAATAGCATACATGAGTTCGCTTAGAGTATTTGTTTACATAATTTCGGTTTTGAAATAATGTTTAAGGAAACGGTTTTACAAACTTCTTCTACAAGAAAGCGCAGTTGAACTGTGAGAAGACGTTAGTGTCCAAGCGTATTTGAAAACCTCTGTTGATGTCGCAAAGAAACTGAAAGGTGACGGGGGTTTAAGTGAATAGTACTTTAGACAAAACTAAAACACTCATTATCTTCTGGACCACATTTATTGAAAAAAAAATCGATCTTGCCATCTCTGTTCCTTTCATTTGAATGATTCGAATTCTTTACTTATCCTCCCTCTTTTATTTCTGGCTATTTATAGAATGTATACTTATAACTTTGGAATACCTGGAACCTACTTGAAGATTTAATTTTTTTGACTGATCCCTGTAACATTCATGTTAACACGAAGTTGCATTTTTGTCGTCCGTAAAAGAACATATATGTGGATCAATTAGGTGTTATAATGATTTTACTGCTTGTATGATTGTATTCTTTTTATTTTAGTTATGTATGTATGGAAAGTGTTTTTCCTTTGAGTAAAAGGAGTAGTCATGTAGATCTTGAAATATCTTAGATAATTTACAAGGTGGTGTTGATTCTTACACGTCTAAAAATATCAAGATGTCATAAAACTCGAGTTTAATTGTATGTTTTTTGTTGTTTTAAAACTGTAAAGCATTGTTTTAAGGTGTTGATGACCATATGCATTGACTTTAAAGGAACAATGATCTTTTGAACATGCCCTATAGATAGTATTTTTCCCCATAGGCAAACAATCATGTATATATATCAGCATATTGCTCTACACACTTCTTGTCTATGTGTAGATATTGAAATGTCTGTTGATTTGTTGTTGTTGATCCTTGCAAATTACTCACAAAAACAGAAGATTGATAGAAAACTCAAACATAATTGTGTGGTTGTGGTTTGAGAATGTTAGTGACATATTTATTAATTTTGAATGAAATTAAAAGGGTGAGATTTGCTTAAAATACCTTCTATTCATGCTAAATTTTGTTTGAAATTGTAGGAAGAGAAAGTCTCAGAAGAAAAAGTCTCAGAAGAAAAACCAGGTTAGTTACTTAGACAGTTCAATAAAAGATGTGACATACTTGTGCTTTTGATCATTAAATGAGATGGTTTGTTACATTTATAAGGGAGTTACAGGGCTACCTTAGAAAAAAAATGATTAACCCTACAAAGGGCTGATGGAAATATTGTATTTAGTTTTTATGCTTCTCAGCCACTTTTTTTTTGGGATTATATTTAATTGAGTTCTTTTAGCTTTGCCCTTCAGTCTGATTTTTACCTTTCTTAAGATTTTAATCTACTATTTTTTCAATACTTCACTGTATATCAAGAGATGTTACTAAGTATATCTTTCATTCACTCAAAAATTTCCTTTCTTATTTTCACCATATTTCTGTGGCAGCCATTTTAAATTAACCTTATCTTTTAGTTACCTTGTTTCAACATAAATAAACCATGTTATACCTATCTTGAATAACTAAAATAATAGATACTACCCAAAGTCAACAAAATATGAAAATCTGAACTTAGTATTTTTAAAACACTATGTTGTAAACATGCCCAAGACTTGACTTTTGTGTCTCTATAAATTAATTCACTGGTGTAGAAGAAGTCAATTTGACACATATATATTATACTAATCCTTTTCAATAGCTTGAGGACATTATGTTTTGCCATTGTTATAAACCATTTTTATTTATACTTCCTGGATGATAATCTTATCTTTCCTGATGCAAAATGAGTGACAATCATATGACTCATGTGACTACCCCTTCTCATTTAAATATGCTGCTACATGTAGCAATGTTCACTAGGATCATGGTTATACATTTGCCAAAAGGTGCCAAAATTTCATTGGTTTTTGTGAATCCTGGTGATTGTAAGGATCAATTTGGAGACTTCCTGTGTTGTGTGAGGGTTTTAAATACATGATTTTTCCCACTTGTTTTCAAGAATCACCAACAAAAATTTTTATTCCAACTTTAGAAAGTCAAAACCTTATCAAAGTATACACAAATATTAGATTCAATTTTTTATCACAAAGCTATATATTTTGAAGACAATTAATCTCTCTCTGATTCTTGACCCATATTTATTTTCCACTCTTCAAATGTAGTTCATATATCAATGTTGAATTACAAAATGCATGTCAGGTCAAAATGATTTTTAGCAAATTTATTCAAGCAATTTCATAAATTATTATTTTTTTCCAAATATAATTGTACCAGCCTTAGTAATTCTTAAACAGAACAACTGCAAATTATACCAGACTGAATGTAACCTAAAATATATGTTTAAACTTGATATAAATGCTGGTGTTTGATGTGAATTAAGTTCCAATGATTTTAAACTAGTTTTGTATGTATTTTCTGGTATTCTAGGTCTAGGATATCATTATTTTCAAAGGATATAGAGTAAATTCAGTCTAGTTTAAAATCAGTGTTATTTGATTTCCTCTTAAGCCTACTACATCAATATTCAACTGAAGGCTCAAGCTCTTTTGTGAAACTGAGTTAAGATCTCGTGTGTATTGAAATTTTTAAAATTGTGTTTCATAGTTTTGAGTGAGCCTGTACTTTATAAACTCCAAGGTTTCTTTGGGCTTCCTTATTATTTCTCTGCTAATAGTTAAGATACTGTGTATTGGTAGTTCTATAGTGGCAGTCATGTTAGAAAACATTTGCAAGAATAGAGATTTGTATTAACAATTACATTCAGTGCTGATTTGATTTGTGTAGGGAGCAATGACACACCATTACCAATGAATTCAGGGGCAGCTGCACGAGAAGTCCCAGCAGAAGAAAATGTGGACATGGACACAAAAGATGAAAAACCAGCTGGTAATGCTGCTCAAGTATCGGATGAAACAAGTGTAAAAGCTCCTGTAGAACAAGAACAACCAAATGTCAAGGTACTGTTCATGAGTTGTTGTTGGATATGAAAAGAACCTTCTGATTTAATCTGGCTCAAGAATGTGTACCATTCCATTGTGGTGCAGAATAAAACAGTTTGGTGCAAGCTTCCTTTCATAATCATCCAAAATTGTGGTCATTCATGGAGTTTAAATACAATTATATAGGAATGACAAATTAAAACAAAAACCATTGGTTGTACACTGCTCTCACTCCCCATGTTGATCACAAGGTTTCGATTTGTTTTGGGTCAAATTTTTTCCATTGATCAAAATTTTTCAAAACAAGTTTATTTTTATTTTTTCCTTTGTTTTCATTTAAGATAATGAATGCAGAAGAAATTAACTTAAGATCATGAAACTGGTTTGACGAATTTTAAACCAAGGGAAAAATTGAACTACAATTTATTCATGAGTGTTTTTATCTGAAATTGAAAAAACAGGAGTCAAACAGGTTTGCAGAATTTTAAATCTAGAAAAAAAAAATTGAGCCAACATCATGCACACAAGTTTATTTTAAAACTTGCTGATAAATTTGTAATTCACTGATTGATCTTCAAAGGTTGCTAATGCTTGAGTTTTCAACAAAGATTTTGCCAACATTGTTGTGATATTTTCCACAAATATCTGTTTCCATGGTGGCAGTAAAAAGAAATTGAAAGTGGCACACTAGGAGGTGCCACTTTCCTTATTTTTTAAAGTGTTAGCTATGGGAAAATTTATACCATTTTAATTTCAAAATAGGGGAACTTTTTGTTTTAAATTTATGTTTCTCTTTTTTGCCAAGGAATAAGGAATGTTGAATTTATTACTTCAACTGGTCCAAAGTAAAAATCAGTTGTCAATGTTTGAACAATCATACTACATGCATATGTGTTCTCATATGTTATAATTCTTGGGTTTTTCTCTGATCTCAATAATCTACACAGATACACTACATTTAACTTTCAAATACAAGGTTTAGTCTAAAAATAGATCAAATGGAAGTTTCTGTATATACGTGTATATGAAGGTCAAAATGTAACAACGTTTCCTTCATTTTGGTAGATGGTATGAATGATTTTATTTGTATTTTGAGGGTAGAAATGAAAATTGAATTAAAATCCTGTCTTATTTGCTTGATAACTGATAAAATCATTTATTTCTTCAAAGTGATTCAACATAGAATGTTGCTTTTCTTTAGTTTCTCTGTGTTCAGTTCTTTTTTTGTTTGGGAAACCATTTCTATTGAGTTTCTTATGTTAGTAACAAGTACATAGTGGATTGACAAGAGGAATTTATAATTTATTTACAATCTAAAGAAACACTTTTTATTTATGAGAAATCTTGTTGTACCTTGCTTTCTTAAAGAGTAATTAAATTTCTGGTTATGATTAAAACTCAACTTGAAGTGCAATGGAAAAGATTTTTCAAAGCCTTACAGCTTATTGTGTAAAATGAAATGACCATTCATGGCAATTCTGGCCAATTTTCCTACAAATAAAAATAAGTTCAACAACAGTACAATTATATGACTTTATAATTTGAAGAGAGCTTAAATCATCAATGCCTTGTTTTTCGTAGAAGGGAAATACTAATTTAACGTGTTAAAAAACTGTGAGATGTGGATGAGTGAAATACGTTTTTTTTTTTTTTTCCATGTAACTTGCCTTGATTGAATACTTATTATAAACATTTCCAGGGTATGACTCATTTTAGTTGCACTTGGATATTTAATGGTAATTAACAAATATTCACCAAAGTGAACGTGACTGGTTGGTTTAGTGTATACAGCATGGATACCAAAAAAAGTTTATTTCTGTCAGTGTACCCAAAAATGGTGGGAAAATGAAATTGTTAATGCCAATTTTGTCTCTTGAACTGCTTGGAGGTGAACAATACTTGATAATCCCTACTGAACTAGCCAATCAGTGTGGACAAAAAGCACCTTTCACCACGAATATTGAGTGAATTATTAGTTGTTACAGGTAGTTACTTAATATAATTATTTGGACTTGGACCATTTTTAGGCAGAAGTTGAGGAAGAGAGGCAGGGAGAAATCCTGGCTTTCTATGGTGAAGAAGAAACCCGTAATTATGACAGCCCAGATCCAGGCCCTGCAGTGGAAAAAGATGAAGGATCCACCCAAGAAAAGCCAACAACTGAGGAGGTTGGCTAAATAAATGTACTTATATTTACGTAGTGTGCAGAACAAGTCAATGATTTCAGCAACAGACCCCACTTTTTATGAGTTAACTGGCATAATAAACCACATGAGATGTTGGGAAAACACCAGAAAAGTTTGTAAATCATGAGCCTCTGACTCAGATAATGGTAGCACTAAGAAAAGTAATTTTGCAGAAAGTAATTTTGTTCTCCAATCAAGAGTTTCAAAACTCAAACAATTGAAAACTTGACACCATAACCTTTTTATCCTAACATCAGTATCTGTTTTCTCCTTGCTCTTCTCTATACATTTCCACTGGTACTGACAAGGAGAATTTGTTTAACAATCAAATCTTCTCAGGTTGGAGATCATTTCCCTTATTCTCATAATCCTAATGAATGATTTAGCAGTATTATTGTGCAGAGAAATCAGATGATGGTCACTCTTTAGTTGTGGAGTTAAGGGGTTGAAATGTTTGAGAATGAAGTTTGGAATATATTATTGATGGACTGTCATTTAACATGCCACTTATGATGACCCTTGTTGTTTAAGTAAATTCTTTTTACTGACTAGCCTTAATGGGTTTTATTTGGCTCTTCTCTCTTTGTGGAAATCATAAGCTAGATCTGACTAGAAAATGTTTTCTTCTTGATTACAGGTTAAGGAAGAGAAACCCAAAGAGGAAATTCCAGAGGAAGAGCCACTCCCCGAAAACATGGGTAATGTCGGCTTTTGAGATATAAATCACTCATTGTAGTTGATTATCAACTTGAAGATTACAAGGGTGTATTGCTTTCCCTTGTGGAATAAGACAAGCTGCTTTGCTTAGCAATGGGCATTTATCTGAAGTGAAGTTTGGGTACCAGTCCAACTTGCATGGCTGGAGGGCCAATCTTTTATGTAGAAATCATTCCACAGCTGTGATGTTCAATTTGGCTTGATTAACAAAATTCAAGTTGATAACCAATTACAGATAACTTTCTGCTAATGGACACTCATAAGCAGACAGCTCTACTTGCAGACAATTTTTTTTCAATTCCCCTTTTGCCTCATAGTTAAAATCTTAATTAACACTTTCATGTAAGCAGCACTCTCCTGTAAGTGGACATGGACACTTTTGAAAGTTTTGTTTACATTCTCATGTAAGCGGACACCCCTTGGATAATAATTTACTCTTGGCAATAAAATTTGTCCTCAATTTGTATATCAACAAAAATATGACCTTTGACAGAGCAAATCTTTATTTGTCCACAGGAAAGAAAATTGTCAGTTCCTTTGACATTAACAAGAGTCCAACCTAACACTCATCCACCCTATTTTTCTTCTGTCTGTGTATGGGAATGATTCTTGTAGGGGACCCTTTTTTCCAATTACCAAGGGTGTCTGCCTATGAGAGAGAATTGACTGTATTTAAGCGTCTCACAATCTTGCGGATTCGGCATTTATTTGATAGCTGAACTTCAGAACCAACTCACATTTGTTCTGTATTGTCAGTCAAGCATCGTTAATCTTTAAGCTCATTCATACCTAAACAGTATTAAATGGTTGAAAGTTAATGAAGTATTAATAATTATAATAGCTTTGAAAATACTCATTTAAAGTCATGGTACAGCTATTAATACATGTATGAAGTAATCTCTTATTAAATTACCAAGATAAGACAAGTGCCCTGATTGGTCGTGAACCTATCCTTTATTGCATGTGTGAAGTTTATTTTATAAAAGCAATAGAGCGCACTTTCGATTGTTTTATTTGACATAATAACCCAAACAGGATGTTGGGAGAACAATTCAGGCTTATGATTTAGAAACCTTTCTTATTTTTGCTCTACTTCATACTAGGGTTGTTATGCCAGTAAACTGATAGAAAATGAGGCCTATTGCATAATTGAGTTACAAAATCCTTGGCTGTTTATTTCTTAGGTTAATAATCAACCAAAGAAAAGAAGTATCATTCTGTTACTCTTACAATGAAGATGTCAGTCTCATCTTCGCTTTTGAATTTAATCTAAACTGATTCAGTTGTGTAGTGGTGATGAATATAAAATGATGAATCTCTAAATGAACAAATTTACTCACCATTAGTGAAAATGAAGGGTGTCGGTAGACCTATCCAAAGTGGCATGTGGACTGTATTTTTTTTTAATTTGTTATCATCTTAAATTACCCATACTTTATGATTAGACAAGATCACCTAAAGGTGCCTGCTCAGTGACATGTGAGCCATTTTCCATTTTTGGATTCCATGGTCAACCATAATTAAACAATAACAATTAGTGACATCCTGCATCATTTCAATTTTATTTTGGACATTGTTTTTACATATGAACGAAGAGAAGATGAAATTTTTATAACTGTATGTAAAAAACGCTGAATCATTCTACAGTCACTTTGAATATGATACTTCCACCTAAACCATTAGATGTTTTTACCACTTGGCTATGTTCCTCAAAGTTGTTTTCATGCATGTGTGGGCTGCTTAAAATGTTTCGTACAAATTATCTAATTAGTTATAGCTTAAACCCACGATGCATTCAACTATTACTATTATGGTCCAAAATTTCTTTAAAGTTGAGATTAAATGCTGAATATACCTTAAAATGTTCCTTTAAATTTAACCTTTTCTAATGTCTAACACAGTAACTGTTTTGTTCGATACAGCCAAGTGTGAATTCTGCCACTACATTGGAATAAGGGAATCCTTTTTCTCAAAGTCCAAACGCTTTTGTAAAATGGAGTGTGCGAAAAGATACTCATCTGCATCCAATATTAAACAGAAGGCAAAAGGAGACAAGATTGGGACTCCAAAAAAGAAACACAGAACTTCAGACAGACACCATAAAGTTTCTTTAAAACTCGATCTTCTTTCTAACCTAGTGACTGTTTTGTCCGATACAGCAAAGTGTGAATTCTGCTGCTACATTGGAGTAAGGGAACACTTTTTCTCAAAGTCCAAACGATTCTGTAAAATGGAATGTGCAAAAAGATACTCTGCATCGAATATTAAAAAGAAGTCGAAGGGAGAAAAGATTGGAACTCCGAAAAAGAAGCACAGAACTTCGGAAAGACACGCAAACAATACAAATGCGGCGGCAGCTGCTGCTGCTGCTGCGTCGGCAACATCGTCAGCTTCTACTGCAGCAGCAGCAGCGTCTGGTGTCCAAGAAATGAGTCAAGATGGGCAGCAGGTAAGGCAACATTTCCACAAGCCCATGAACCCCTCTAACTCCCATGAGTCATCAAATTGTCATTTCTCCTTGCAATAGTAATACATTATCCAGCAAACAGGTAATGAGAAGAGATGAACTTATCACCTGAAGTGTGTTATCTTGATGTAATGCCAAGTTCTCCGAACTGATTCGAAGGAAAGTTATAGCAACCAGAGAGGAGAATTGCTAATTAGATCTTGGGAGTTAGAGGGATGGTAGATTCATCACGATTTGTGTCAACTTGTATTCTATTTTATGATTTATCTACTTTTTTCCCCCTTTTTAGTAGGATTAACCCTGATCGTGCATGAAAAATCAACGCTAGATTTCTACGATGTACAGATACACATAGCTTGTTGTAACTGAAATTCTGTTAACCCTCTACTCTCTAGGGTTCTGACAAGGAGAATTTGTTCAACAATCAAGAGCTTCTTAAGTTTGTGATCATCTCCTTTATTCTCATGACCTTAATGCTTGATTTAAGGATGATACTGTAAGGAGAAATTATATGTTAGTCGCTTTTAGGGGTTAAAGGGTTAACGTGTTAATTCTCTGGGAAACATTGCAATGTATTGCGCATTTAAGTAGAAATTTTACAGCTCACTTTTGACATTTCGCACACATTTCAGGAAGAAGCAGAACGTTCGGGAGCAAGTGCGACCCCTTTGTCTCGAGAAGGTAAATTCTGTCAATTCAATTCATCGCCTATTTGTTGTGACCTCATTTTCTTGAAACATTCCTCTCTACTTTTCCTTGTACAAAGATGTTGGTGAAAACTGGCAGAATCGTAGCTTTGACTGGACAGAATACCTCAGAAAAACCGGAGCGAAAGCTGCCCCTACTCATTATTTTGAGCATGTAAGTTTGAATTGAATCTGTTGGTTAAGGTGTTCGTGAATGAGCGATAAATGCCCAGTTTGGGACAACCAGCGCACAAGTTGCACATTTGAAGGGCTAATGCGCGGTAATGCGATAAATTGGAGGTCTTTAAGATCACGAGAGGGGTGTTCATATTTCTTGTAAACAAAGTAATCCTGCTACTTATAGCGGAGAATTCTATATCGGAACCAGAGCGGAGCTGACATCGTTGTATTGTTTCTAGGTAAGTCTGAGTCCTTGTTTGAAAGGCGTACATGTTGGCATGAAAGTGGAAGTCGTAAACTGCAGTATGGATGTCGTAGACGATACAGATGTTGCTTTTTGGGTGGCGACCGTGATTGAAATCAAGCACTACAGAGTCAAATTACGGTATGAAGGGTACGAGGTAAACCCTGCTGGCGATTTTTGGTTTGATCTGAGGTCAAAGAACATCCATCCAGTTGGTTGGTGCGCCAAGAGAAATAAACTGCTCATACCGCCTCCAGGTATGATAACTTTGCACTTTACACCCTAACATCGGCATGCACATTATCCATACTGTTCTGTACACATTTCATAAGGTGTTGGCAAAGAGAATGTGATTAACAATCAAGAGCTTCTTTAGCTGGTGATCACCTCCTTTATTCTCCTGACCATAAAATGTTTGATTCAGGGGTGACATTGTAAGGAGAAATTAGATGTAAGGAGGTAGTCACTCCTTTCTAGTGAAATTTTTGTGTACACGTGGATTACATCTTGAAACGAAAGGCAAGCCAGCGGGAAAAGGTTCAAGACCATATTTTGTTACTAAAGAAAAAGTCACAAGTAAAAATTCAATAGACTTGAAGAAATTTCAAATATTTTTCACTCTGGATTTTTTAGAATTCTCTATCCATGCAGGACAACTCCTCAAGATTCTAATTCAGGAGGGAATTTTTGAACTCAAGTCTCTCCTAATGGCATTTTTAGTGTAAACTTTTTCTTAGTACCTTTTTTGTTGTACAGCTATCAGAGAGAAATGCGCCAACTGGAGGGACTACCTCTTCAAATGTCTCTCAGGAGCCAAGACTTTCTCGGTTGAATTTCTTCAACAACTGCAAAGCCAATCTTACAACAGATTCCAGAAGGGCATGAAGGTGGAAGTGGCCGATCGTAAGAATATGTACTCCATGTGCGTGGCGACCATAGTTGATGTGATCGGAGACCGCCTGAGGATGCGGTATGACGGACTGGATGACGATGTGGCTGAAGACTTCTGGTGCCACTACCAATCGGCTGAGATTCATCCTATTGGCTGGTCATCCTTGGTTGGACATACTTTGCAGCCACCCATTGGTGAGTGTATGTCGTGATGCCATGATGAAGTACAGAACCACTCTCTGTTCGTGCGTGAAGCGCGTATGATGCGTGGGAATTACACGCCCTTCCAGGGCGTGTAGTTACGCGCGTGCATATGAGAAATTGCACGCGTGTGGCGGTTTACACGCAGATGCGTGTGGTGACGCGTGGTATGCGTGTTCTACACGTGAAGTGCGTTGGGAGTACACGCATGAAGTTCATGACTTCAAGTGTGTCACTGCACTTACAAGACTACTTGATGAAAACGTGAAAAATCCCGCTTTCTTATAGTGGAAAAAAAAAGAAGAGGGGCAATGATAAACCATTAAGGGACAGGAAGACCCAAGGATGGGGTGATTTAAAACGATGCACCAATGACAAATATGTTAGGCTGGATTTCTTTGGGATACCTAAACTACACATTTTTTGTATGGCTCCCAAATTATATAACCAGTTTTTTGCGTTATCTCGAAAAACTTTGCAAGAGTGTTTAAGGTCAAGATAATGTTATCCACCGGGTAAATCTCTCGAAAATGTTTCGCCAACGTTTTTCACGTCTACCCTAAAAGCAATCCATCTTTAACTTTCTCTTACTCTGACTATCCGTTCCCCTGTCAGGATTTTGTATATAGGCTTATGTGACGTCACAGATATCTTGGTTTTTCTTAACACCACTATGTGCGTCTAATTGTCATTTAGGCTGGAAACACAGTCTCAGCAAGTGGAATGAATTCCTGGCGGATGATTTGGCAAACTCATTAGATGCACCTCAGGAATTTTTTGTACAGGTAAGCGTCTCAAAGTATATTTAATTTCTAAGGCTTGTAAGTGATTATATCTTCGAATGAAAGATACTTAAGTTGTGCAAATTATATTAAAATATGTATTATTTTCAAAATTTTAATTCAGTTTGTAAACCTCGTGGCACAGCAACGGACTTACACTTATTTTGAGCAGGAATTTGGGATTCGCAACACTCTATATAACATGTACTTGTTGGCCAAGGCGTAATATTTCAGATAGGGTCTGTTGTTGGCTCCAGTTGTCTTGTCAAATCGCAAAATGTATTAACCCTTTTGATTATTAAACAAATTCTCTTTGCCAGCAACTTAGGAAATGTTTAGAGAACATTATAGAGAGTATGCATGTTGATGTTAGCGTATAAAGGTTTTAAGCAAAATTATTGCAATATTAAATTACTTTTCCCCATCGATTGAAAATTGCTCCAAAATTGAAGCGTATCACAGAAGATGACGTGACGCGGTTCATCGATCAAGCATTCATTTTTTTCATTTTTTTTGTTTTTATTTTAAGGACTCTACGGGAACAGCCCCTGGCGTTCACCAGTTTAAAGTGGGCATGAAATTCGAGGCTATCGACCCGTTCAACCCGAGTCATGTGTGTGTAGTGACGGTGATCAAGGTGCTGAGGTTCAATTACTTCGTGCTTGGAGTCGATTCTTTGGCGACTTACTTCGTGTGTCACGCTAACTCAATTAACGTGTTCCCCTGCGGATGGGCTAAGGCTCACGGGCTGCAGTTACACCCGCCCAGAGGTGGTATATGCTTCTGTTTTTTTCTTCTAGAGAATTAGTTTTTTTTCCGTGGAACAATCGAAGCTTAATAAGCGGACACACCGAGAACGCAAGATAGGTGTCTGCAACTGAAGTTAAATGCTCGTAAGCATGGTTCAGTGGAAATGTAAGCGATGGCTGGCGGCACACGGTAACACAGCGGTCAGACGTCCGCTCATGTGTGAACTTTGAAACGGCTAAGAGGCGGCCAAATTTGTTGTTAAGAGTTTTTGCTGGTAGGAGCTCAATCAGGGTCTGATGAAGACGGTCGTAGATAGAGCAATCCTTTAACCTAAGAGTGCCTTAGGGTGTTTTCACATGGAAATGCCAGTGACGCACCAACGCGTCGCTAAACAAAAATGAATACAACATTGGGTCGCCGAAAAGTAACTAGTTTGCAATCTTCCACTCAACTTCTCATTAATTTCAAAAGACACATTGTAATGACGCCTTGATTTTGACCCGTTTAGATTATACCCAAGAGGCTTTTAGCTGGCCGGAATATCTTGCCAAGACGGGTGGCATCGAAGCCCCACCTCAGCTCTTTCGACAGGTAATAACTACTTGTAACCCTTAAGCGCTCATTGAAGAAGGCGGTATGACCAAGTAGCTAGGTCGCTGGACTTGGAATCTCGTGGTGCCGGGTTCACGTCCTCCACCCTGCCACTCACTGGATTTGTTCTCGGTCGCCCCGAGTTCAACTCTTCGGGTGCGCTGTGTAAATGGCCATCTGGTCTGCCTCCCGCCAGTTGGGATTTTCAAGCACTTAATGTTTATTTGAAATATTTGTTTTTCTCTCTTTCGCGTTGTAACGAGCTTAGAGGCTTGAAATAAACTTTTCTTTGTCAACGTTCAAAGGGGAAAAGTTTTTAACGAGACTGTGGGGTTGCGTTAGTGAAGGAGTATAACAAGATAATCGAGTTGATAATGTAAAGTGGCCTCCTAAAGCAGACGTTTCGAGCATTAGCCCTTCGTTAGAGCAAGTAGTTATTGTTTCGCTCCCCTTAACTCTTTCACTCCCAAGATCTAATTAGTAATTCTCCTTACTATCTGCCATACAATTCTTATGATGTTAGTTCAGAGAATTTGGTATTAGATCAACCAATAATCCCATGATTGATATTCTTCTCTATTCTCATCACCTACCTGCTTGATATTGTATTGATATTGTAAGGAGAAATTCTGTCTTGGTCATTTGTGGGAGTGAAAGGGTTAACTCCCAAGATCTGATTGTTAATGATCATTTCCAGCTTATGCACATTTCCTTGTAAATTAACAACGAACATTTTGTGTTAAATCAAGATAACTTTACCTGATAATTTTGAATATTCTCATTACCTGTTTGCTGGATAAAGTATGGATATTATAGGGAGAAGTGACAGGTTGATCGCTTTTGGGAGTTAAACTGTTAACCAGTTTCATCTTTCATTACTAAGGAGCAAAGGGGTGAAAACAATTTTAAAATTGGAACCAAACTTGAAGCAGTGGATCTGCGCGAACCCGCCCTCATCTGCCCTGCAACAGTAACAGACCTCAAGGGACCCTTGCTGAGAATCCATTTTGACGGCTGGGACGAGTCCTACGATCAGCTGGTGGATAAAGATTCGTTGGATATTTTTCCTGTCAGTTACTGCACCTCTGTTGATCATCCCCTGCAACCTCCAGGGTGAGAATTGTTGTGTTTGTGGATCTGTCTGTAAGACTGTCTGTCTGCCCGTCTGTGTGTCTTTCTTTCTATGTGCATGTTCCCTTATCTGTCTGTCTGTCGTTTCCGAAGTACCGCAATGCTAGTTTGAAAGAATTATGAATAAGCCAACGGCTCCTTCTGCCCTTTCTACTCAACCGTCTTGGCCAATCAGAAAGCAATGTGCTATTACTCCTTCTTTGCTGTCATTGTCGAAATCGTTGTAAAGTTTTTGCAAGAATACAATGTGTCGTTAAGAATGGTTCAAAATTAAATTTGTCTTATGGGTTCGAATTAAGAAACAGTGATACTCGTAATTTCATTGCGGTAATTCAAAATCAGGCTGCTCCAGTTAACCTTTGGTTAAAATCCAATCAACAGCTTAAGTTTCGTTATGAACGCTGTAGGTAAGTGGTGTTGAAGTCTTCTTTTTTTTCAACTCCCGATCGCCACTAATGTGTGCCTCTGGTTCGATTAAAATGTAGTACTTAGCAATGTTTTGCTGACATCTTTGTGGGGAGAATGATTCAAATCTCTCGTCTGTTTGTTTACTTTTATGCAGACCAATGCCTGATAAATTCGTCGAACGTTACGGTCCAGTTACGGATGTCGGCCGTCAATCAGTGCCCAGACCCCTGAGTAGGCCTGTCAAAAGACGAACATCCGCTGACGACGATGGGCAAAAGAAAAAAAGTGAGTGCCTCCGCTTACTTTGTGCAGCGGTACTAGAATGAAAAGTTGATGTGATTGCATCGCACAAAGGGTTTACTTATCATTCATGGACTCCCAATGAATTATGCATGTGAAGCAGATGTGAAACAAGTGAATAAGCGACTGTTGCAAGCTAAACTAGTTACCTGAAGCAGTCAGGCGAGCATCTAACCTTCAAAACTTCAGCTTTCCAAAATTTTCTTCGGCGTTTAACAACTTTTAACAACTTTAAGTTGACGATTGTGGAAAGATTCTATAACAGCTCAAAATTTTTTCTGTTTCCCATTCCAGCCAAATCGCTCTACCCCCAGGAGGAGGTATACCTGAACAAGCGCTGTTTCCCAGGACCGCTCTTGAGCCGTGACTTAGTGCGCAGTCTCCCTGATGCAGTCAGAGGCTCCGTGGTAGGACCTGAGAAGCACAACATTATGCGACTGTGTATGCAGCACTTGGTCTCCGCGTCTATCAATCCCAAACAGGTCCTGGAGTTGTTTAGCCGCGAGTTTTATCAGAGCAAGAAAAACAGGTAGAACTTATATGCCTTAACATTGAAGAAACTTACTTAAAAATTGTGGTAGACAGTAAAGAGAACTACTACAGAGATCCTTATAGTGAAAGAGTTAATCAGCCGGCCCATGTCTAGCGAGGCTACTTTTAGAGGACCACGTTTATCACTCAAACTGGCTCTCTGTTTCTCTCCCCTTTCTTTTTCTGGTTACTAGAGAATTCCAACTTGGTGGAACAGTGTGCATTGAGACTAAGAGCAAGAATGGCAAGCGGCTCATGAGGCGTGTCCGCGTTGTGAATAAAGCGGAACATCTTCAGCCGTATCTGCAGCGAGTCTGTCAAGTGCTGGGGTGCTGCTCGGAGCTTGTCAGTGCTACGCGCTACGCTCTCGGCTCCTGCAATCAGAGCAGCTGTCTGAAAGGTTAGGAAGCAGCTCATTCTACGCACTCGCAGTTGATCATGGGACTTTCTAGTTAAAATGGACATGTTCATTTGAGGGAAGTTATTGCTACCAGACTTCGTTTGCTTACTAGTAAAGTATCCAAAGTAAAAATAAGAGAAAGTTGGGTTCTACACGAAGTAAACTAAAAAGCAACTATAAATGAGAAAAAAATCTTGACGTTGACACTGTTCGAGTGCACAATTTAAAATTGGTGTGGTAATGATCTCACTTTCTTGTTTGGCTTAAAAAGAACAGATTTTTTTATCACTCAGACTGTTTTTCGAATATGGTAATTTGGTATAACGTAAGTTGGCCACCGTTAAAAATTTCAAAGCTTAGCACTACCCTCTGACGAAGGACTAACGCTCGAAACGTCAGCTTTAAAACTCTTAATGGTGGCAAATTTACGTTATCAACTCAGCTGATCATTCTAAATTACCCTGCTGTATTCTTCCACCGATGAAGCACCGCAAGTTTCTTTATAAACTTACTCCCTGTATTAATTTGTGTTTCGAATAGCATGACTGCTTTTGAAGGATGATGCATAGTAGGGAATTTTGTGTTCTTGTTCCTTTTTCACCTACTTTTATTTTTCGTGTGTGTGTTTATTTTTTACATTTTTTAAGGCTTTGGAAATATTCAACAATCTTTTTTTTTCCCGAAAAATGCGAAGGCTTTGTAAGCGGGGACGTACCATTATTTGACACTTTGTGGAAAAGAAAAATTATTTAACCAATTTTCCTCCTCGACGTGAAGAACTGGTCTTTTTATAACGAATGACTACTTTCAGGGAAAGACAATGGTGTGACATCGTCAAGCGATGGCCGCGCCCTCCAAGAAACAACCCTTGATGTTCCGCACCCACCCATCGCCCCACCCAGGATGAAAGGCCATCACGACTCAGCTGTTTGGCTACAGCCCCTGGAGAGAGAATCTTCACACGACTCGATGGTGTCGTCCACGAGTAACCTTCCCTCTTCGTCCGCAGCGCAAGAGTCAGACGCAGCGTCAGTTCTGTTGTACCAGAGCTGTAACAGCGGAAAAGATCCCCGGCTGTGGAACGTGCAGGAGGTGATGAGCTTCTTGTTCTCCATCGGCTGTTCGAATTACGTGGATGCTTTTGAGAAACAGGTATGTCAGTTTGTTTCGCCGTTTTCCAAACGGTGCCTCGAGATGGAATGAAACGCGGAAAAGATTTAACGTTTGTTATCTACCTTTCAGTGTGCTTTAACCAGAAAATAATTGACTTATTGTTGAAATTAGATATTTTGTTTCTCTTGATCTGTCAGAAGGAAAAATTTTTAGAAGAGAAAGTGAGCAAAATTAAAATTTCGTTACTTATTTATTTATTTAACATTATTTATGCACTGTACAAAAATTCATTAGGTACAAACAATTCCAATACAGTGACTTATATCCTAAGAACCTAAAAGTTCTTATCCTAACATTATATCAACTTACAACAATGTGCCACTTAAAAACCTGATTTCCATGAATGCCGTGTTTAAAAGTTATGATAGAGAAGGAGTTTAAATTGGGTTAATGAACCAGTCTCTCTAATTTTACAGGGTAAGCTATTCCAAAGGATTGCGCCGCTATAACTAAAACTATTTTTTATTTAGTTAGTTCTTGGAAAGGGGACAGTAAGTTTCTTTACTGAGTCCCTCCTTTATGTTGGTTGTAATCTTGGTTCTAGTTTCTTCTCTCTCTTTGCAGGAGATTGATGGTCGCGCACTTTTGTTATTGACGCAAGAAGATATGGAAAAGCTAACTGAAAACAAACTCGGCCCTATGACGAAAATCCAGAGCGCAGTCAAGGCTCTTAAACAAGCGTGGGGCATTTGAAAATATGAATCAAAATTATATCGTAAACACTACAGTTTTTATTTCAAATTTAATGTAATCGCAGTCTCCTGAGTGGGAACGTTTTTGTAGTAATATTTTAATGCGTTTTTTCTACTTTGACCCTACAGTCTCAACGCCAACAGGCAAACTCTCTCAACTGGCTGGCATAGATAAATATATTCCCTGTTTTCGAAAACGTTGCAATTTGAAAAACATATAGAAATATATACACCTTTTGTTTTGAGAAAACAAAAGGTACATATATTTCATGTATATTTTCAAATTGCAACGCTTAAGGGAACGTGTGTGTGTATACATATATATACATACATGTGCATATATATATATATATATATATATACTACAAGCTGGAGGAGGGTGCATTTTTATCAAAACGGTTTCTCCTCAGTGATGATTTTGGTTTTCTCGTTTCCTCCATGCTCGATAATTAGTGAGATTTTGAGGAGAAGCTCTGTTTTGATAATTGTTGGGGCTCAGTAGGGTTGAGGTTCGGTAATGTAGGAGGCCACCCTGACAGTGATATAAACACAGGGTGGAATCAAAAGATAACAGTTATAGGATCGGGAACAATCAACAGCCACTTTTTAAGGGGTGCTGTCTTTCATTTCATAGTGACTTTAGGGACAGAAATTTTCATGATTTAAGTACGCATTGAACTCTATAGCTGACAGAAACTCTTTCAAATGATTTTGAGCAGTCACATTACGGTTTCAGCTTCTTGAAAGGTTTCGACTGAATTCGTTTGAGTTCGTTATTTGCAATCCTTTTACATCTTCACCATCTTTAGCCAATCGTGTTCCAAGTTGGCTCCTTATTGTTTCTGTTGAGTTTGTCTTTCTTACCAAACATGTATTTTGTGCCTTCAGACGGAGGGTTTCTTTTTTGTCGTTTTATTTTTCAGAGCGCAGAACATCACTCCAAATTTTCCCGCCGAATAGCCACCAAACCAATCAGATTCAACATCAGAGCTAACTGCGACTCAGCAAACCGCGTTTCCCGCGCAAAGCCAGTTACGTTTTCTTCTCATTGGCTCGTAGTGATCTGTTCCTTCACTGCTATTGGCCGTTAAATCAGTGTGATTTTGGTTTTACGACACTCAATTGAAAACGCTCTATATTCAGTTTTTGTTTTTTTTTTTATCATTAATTTTTATTTTAATTCCTCAGCATTTTTAAGACATTTGTACTCAAAATGATATTTCATATCCTTTGCTCAGTTGAGACTTGGTAGATGTTCTGTCAGATATCACGAGAGAATTTTGCGCGCTTTTTTTCATGACCTTTCCTTAAGGCAGAAGTCAGCGCCCGAATGAAAAAGTGGTTGACCATGTAATCGTTTTTAATAACTCCCGATGTAGGTCACTCCCATGTAGTCTCAAAGCTTTATTTATGCCGAAGTTGTTAGATAGCGTATTTGTTTAATTCAAAACGGTCATGCGGCGACCCCCGTGTGTCACTAAATTTTCTATAGTTGTTTATAGTCGGTAGTCAAATCATTTAGTTAAAATATTTTAACGAGATTTTTCCGAAGCTGATAGACGTAGGGTCAATAGCACACGCGAGTTCTCAATATCACCCGCCACTCAATTTATTGCATGAACAGTAAAATGGTTTTTCTAATCATGAAGTATGTTATTGAATAATCCATGTCCGAGTCTGAGCAACTACACACCTACCCCTCACTTAACTTGACAACGGTCAACTGATAGCAAGTTAATGTTAATGTAGGGTTCGGGGAGGGGTGGGTGGGTGGGTGCGCATGTGCCCAGATACTGACGTGGATCCATAATGTAATCACTCTCAAATGGTTTTACTACTTCCGGAAAATTATACTCACCAGAGAAACTTGCTACAAACTATATGCTACTTGGGTTTTGTGAGACCTTTGATTCGAATTAGTGGGAAAGTTATTTTAGAATTAGTTTCGTTGGCGTGCATTTTACACTTAGAGCCAGCCCCTTTATTTCACCAAACTGATGGTTAATAAACCTCCTTACCCTCTTCTTTTTAAGTATATTGTTGGTTTTGTGTAGAATTTAAATTTCAGCTTTTCTTCGTTCGTCAATATTGCATCTTCTACTAACTTGTGCACGTACAATTGAGTGTAGACTATGTCCGCGAAACAATCCAAATCAAAGCAATAGTTAAAATATCCAGTGGAGAGCCTGTTTCTTGATAAATTATTGTATTGTATACTGCCTTAATTTGCGAATATCTACCTTTTAATGGTTCAATGGTATGTCTAAAGGTCTGAATTAAAATTTCATTAATGGAACTTCTTGGATCGGTTCGTGAGCCCATGGGCAGAAGTGTGTTGCTGAGACGTAAGTCACTTAATGCTCGAGCTACTTTTCATGAAACAGTAGGAATGAGCCACCTCATCTCTGTTCTGCTTTGGACAGAGAAAGCTGTAGGTTTTCTCTAACACTCTCTGGTATCGTCTTTATTCTCCATCTCCTTCCACAACCTTCACAGTTTGGAAGATTATTTAAAATTACTTAACAGATGCGCAAGGTGCCGCCCCTTTCCATAGATTATCAATCTACTTGCCCTCAGAACAAATTTCCCAATTATGAATTCAGTGCGGAGGATGGAAAGTTAAAATTATTAACACCAACAACCACCTAGTAAGAAAAAGGTGTTGACCGTGCTAGAATTTAAAATCAAGGAGTTCTTTCCTGATGTTAATTCTCCCCTGTAGCTGCTACACATTTCCTTGTAAATTAGTTATGAGAACTTGGTGCTAGATCAAGATAGCATCTTCTACCTGATGAGTTTGAATATTTTCATCACCTGTTTGCTGAATATTTTATGGATATTATAAGGAGACGTTTCGTGTTAATCACTTCTGAGAGTTAAAGGGTTAAACCTGTTCCCCAGAGGCGGATATTCGAAAGGCACTTACCGCTAATTCAGGGCTAATATAGAGATTTAGCCAAGCCTAAAAGCGAAGCTCGCATTTTTTTTTTCCCGCACGTCTCAAGGGCACAACGCCTTGACCCGGCCAGGACCAGAACCCGAGTTGTCCGACTCGGAGCCCAGTGCACTGACCACTGGACTACTGGACAAAGCCATGGCGTTGGTGTGCCCGCGGTACAGTTCGCCATGCATGTTAAAAGTAGCACCTTGTACAGTCGTACGGTCGAACGGTCGTACATCCAAATTTTTTCGGCTTGATGGGTTACTATTATTTTTTATAATTATGAGGCTACGCTCTGCGAACTCCGCTAATAATTTAACTTATTCTTATTTCTTCGAAGTGAAAACTTATGATTTCTATTAAAGGTTGTAACTTATTGTTGGGTGTTATTTCCCTGTTTGGAAAGACTGAAACAAGCAATGTATAGATAAGACTAATTATTCAAATTACAATTAATTGAACGACCCCAGGAGCCCATACGTTATTGTGATGGCCTCCTGACGACCGCACTCGTTCACCAGTTTAATATGCAAAAAGTGGTAGTGATCAGACTGAAAATTAGCATAAATTATGCACAATACATCGTGTACAAACAAGAATAGTTATTAATTGGTGTGTGTGCTCGTTCCTGCTTTAAAATGGCTGATCAAAGTAAAAAAAAGACCCAAGCTATATCAAACGAGAAATATAGGGACGTGCTCTTAACAACGACAAACGAGCTGCGAAAAGAAGGAGTCCTTTGCGATGTTCGACTTCTTGTGGGAGATCAAAGTTTTCTCGCTCATCGCAGTATTCTCGCCGCCAGCAGCCCGTATTTCCGAGGTTTATTCACCAATGACATGAAGGAAAAAGATCTAATGGAGTGCAGACTTGACCAGTTGCAAGCCTCTGTCATGGAACCTCTCCTTGGTTATTTATACACTGGCAATGTGACTCTTGACGAAGAAAACGCAGAGAGCCTCGTGGCAGCGGCCGATTATCTGCTCATTCAGAGCCTCAAAGATATTGGGTGCGAGTTTTTAGAAGGTCTGCTTTCTCCATCAAAATGTTTTACCTTGAGAGATTTTGCTGAGAAATACAGCTGCGATTCTCTGAAAAGCTCTGCCACGCGCTACATTGTGAAACACTTTAACGATGCCTGTGATACAGAAGCTTTCAAATCGGTGGAGTACAGAGTTTACATCGAAATAATCGCGCGCGACGATCTCGAAGTTTCGCGCGAGGAAGATGTGTATGAGACGCTGATCAAGTGGGTGAAGCACGATTTGGAAACTCGGAAAGAGTATTTCGACGAATTATTCAGCAAAATTCGCTTGTCTTCGTTATCGAGGCATTACTTGATTAATCAAGTGGAAAAAGAAGAGCTGGTCAGCGAGAGTTTTTATTGCACAAAGCTTGTGGTGAAAGCTCTGAACGCGTTTATTCTCCACGAGTATGACGATCGCGAGTGTGCTCGAAATAATCTCAAAAGATATTTGGATGTCATCACAGTGTGCGGCGGGAATTTGTGCAAAGAGGCGACCTGTTATTCTCCGGCAAAGAAAAAATGGCTGCCTTTTGCAGACATGTTGAAGGCGCGCGACGAACACTGTACGGCTGTTCACGACAATGTCCTTTATGCGTTTGGCAGCACACAGACTGAGAACGGCCAGTCGGTCGAACAGTATAATGCGCACACTAACTCCTGGATAGCGGTGGCAAACATGCCTCAGATGCGCTGCGCAGCAACCGCTGTCACGTGCGGTGATCACATCTTTATCATTGGAGGAAGAATACCAAACGGTGGCGGTTCCACCAAACAAGTCATGCGCTACGATGCCGATATCAACAAGTGGTTTATTGAGACGTCCATGTCTGTCAAACGTGCTGGTCTCTGCTCAGCAGCCTGTGACGGTCTCGTATACGCAATCGGCGGTTTGAGCGACAGGAACGAGTTTCTGCGTACAGTTGAACGATACGACCCGCGAAAGAAGGTATGGAGTGACGTCACGCCCATGCAAGTCGCGCGGTATTTCGCGTGCGCAGTGGAGATGAACGGCAAAATATTTGTAATTGGTGGCCAGTCCTCCAGCGGCGCGTATCTGTCCTCGTGCGAAGCGTTAGATCCTTCCACGGAGGAATGGGCCTCGCTACCAAATATTTCTGTCTCTCGACAAGCGGCCGGAGTAACAAGACTTGGATACCGGATTTACTTGTTTGGAGGCTGTAATAACTCAGGCAGTCTGGACAGTGTTGAATGTTATGACGACAGGAAGCGAAGCTGGGAAGCAATCGCGAGGATGCCCTGTAAAAGATCTTGGGTACAGTGTGGCGTGCTTCGTGTGGCCAAAGATCTTTTCGAACTCAACTAATCAAATTGAAGACATCGTAACACACGATTATTATATCGACCTCCTGAAACAAGACACAGGAATGGAATATACTGGAAAAACTAGAAAACTTTACCCTCGAAATGGAGCAAACCAAGGAATGACTAATTTGATGGACTTTAAACGGAGATTGGTTCAAGTGAAGATAAACAAAAGTTGGACAAGCAATTTCCAAATAGCAATTCTCGTCAATTTTTTGCCTAAAATCCAGTCCCACTCCGATTTTAACTTGTAATTTCAAGTTGGACTATTCCGAGTCTCTTTTGTCGTATAAGAATTAGGGTTCTTAACCCTTTAACTCCCATGAGTGACCAAGACAGAATTTCTCCTTACTATATCTGTACAATATCATGCAGACAAGTTATGAGAATGAAGAAAAATATCAATTATGGAATTACTAATTGATCCGACACCGAATTCTCCAAACTGACATAATGAGAATCATTTGACAGACGATAAGGAGAATTACTAATGAGATCTTGTAATCAAGAAATAGCTCCTTAAATTGTATTAAGCGTCACTTGAACCAGGCTAGCAGCATTCTTAGATTTTAAGGGGGGCTCCGAAACTCTTTTTTGCTCAAGGAAACGAATTTGGTCGTGACTCGAATTTATCGACTCAAAGGGGAGATTGTAACATAAAGGGTAACTGATAGCGATGTATTTAAATACAATTCATCATGCACAATAACTAAGCAATGGATGTATTTCTCACGGTCGTTGACGAGGCGCGACTGTTAACGGAACGTGGAGATGCTGGTGAAAAGTGTCCGATTTTGGACACTAATGTCCTTTTATAGACATTAGTGTGCAATTTCGGACACTAGTGTCCGATTTTTGAGACTGGTGTCCGATTTTAGCCCCTAATGTCCTATTTCGAACAATAGTGTTTGATTTTGGAAACTGTTGTTGGGTTTTTGCTGACCTATGTCCGATTTTAGGCATTAGTGTCCAATATTAAAGTAGTAGTGTTAGATTTTATACGCTATTGTCTGATTTTGGATACTTATGTCCAATTACAGACACTAATGTCTGATTTTCGAAACAAGTGTCCGACTACAGACACGAGTGTCCGATTTTGGACATTAGTAACCGATTTTGGACGTTAGTGTTCGATTTTAGACACAAACATACGATTTTAAAATTAAGTGTCCGATTTCAGACACTAATGTGCGATTTTCGATACTAGTCTCCCATTTTCGACATTTTAGACAATGGTGTCTGATTTTGTTCACAAGTATCCGATTTTGAACACTAGTGTCCAGTGTTAGACACTAGCGTGCGATTTAAGACACCAGTGTCCGATCTTAGACACAGTGTCCGATTTTAGACTCTACCACCCGATTTAAGCACTGTTGTGCAATCTTAGATACAGTATTCAATTCAATTTTAGGCACTAGAATCCGATTTCAGACACTTAATGTCCAATTCTGAGCATAAGTGTGAACCTTTAGACACTAATGTCCGATTTTGGATACTTGTTTTCAATTTTAGGCACTAGTGTACCATTCTAGACAACTATTTAATTCTTGACACAAGTGCTGGTGTTGGTGTCCTATTTAACACACTAGCTTCACATTTTGGACACCAGCGTCCAATTTAAGACCCAAGTGTCCGATCTTAGACACTAGTGTCCGATTTTGGCCACTGGTGTTTGATTTTAGACACACGTGTTCGATTTGAGACTCTAGTATTCGATTTTGGACACCAGTGTTCGATTCTAGACTCTAGTGTTCGATTTTAAACACTAGTGTTCGATTTCACACACCAGTGTTCGATTTTAGACACTAGAGTTCGATTTTAGACACTAGAGTTCGATTTTAGACACTAGAGTTCGATTTGAGACACTTGTGTTTGATTTGAGAAACTAGTGTTTAATTTTAGACACTTGTGTTTGATTTTAGACACTTATGTTCGATTTTAGACACTGGTGTTTGATTTTTGACACTAGTGTTCAATTTTAGACAGTATTGTTCGATTTGAGACACTAACGTTCGATCTTAGACACTTGTGTTTGATTTGAGACACTAGTGTTCGATTTTAGACTCTTGTGTTTGATTTGATACACTAGTGTTCGATTTTAGACACTTGTGTTTGGTTTGAGACACTGGTGTTCGATTTTAGACACTTGTGTTTGGTTTGAGACATTAGTGTTCGATTTTAGACACTTGTGTTTGGTTTGATACACTGGTGTTCGATTTTAGACACTTGTGTTTGGTTTGAGACATTAGTGTTCGATTTTAGACACTTGTGTTTGATTTGATACACTAGTGTTCGATTTTAGACACTTGTGTTTGGTTTGAGACACTGGTGTTCGATTTTAGACACTGGTGTTTGGTTTGAGACACTGGTGTTCGATTTTAGACACTTGTGTTTGGTTTGAGACATTAGTGTTCGATTTTAGACACTTGTGTTTGATTTGATACACTAGTGTTCGATTTTAGACACTTGTGTTTGGTTTGAGACACTGGTGTTCGATTTTAGACACTTGTGTTTGGTTTGAGACACTGGTGTTCGATTTTAGACTCTTGTGTTTGATTTTGGACACTAGTGTTCAATTTTAGACACACGTGTTCGATTTTACAGACTAGTGTTCGATTTTACAGACTAGTGTTCGATTTTACAGACTAGTGTTCGATTTTACACACTAGAGTTCGATTTTAGGCACTAGTGTTCGATCTGAGACACTAGTATTCGATTTTGGACACCAGTGTTCGATTTTAGACACTGTTGTCCGATTTGAGACACTAACGTTCTTAGACACTAGTATTTGATTTTGGACACTGGTGTTCGATTTTAGACACAAGTGTTTGGTTTTAGACACTAAAGTTCCATTTTAGACACTAATGTTCCTTTTAGAGGCTAGTGTTTAATTTTAGACACTAGTGTTTAATTTTAGACACTGGTGTTCGATTTTAGACACTAGTGTTTGGTTTTAGACACTAGTGTTTAATTTTAGACACTGGTGTTCGATTTTAGACACTGGTGTTCGATTTTAGACACTAGTGTTTGGTTTTAGACACTAGTGTTTGGTTTTGGACACTAAAGTTCCATTTTAGACACTAATGTTCCTTTTAGACGCTAGTGTTTGATTTTAGACACTAGTGTTTAATTTTAGACACTGGTGTTCGATTTTAGACACTATTGTTTGGTTTTAGACACTAGTGTTTAATTTTAGACACTGGTGTTCGATTTTAGACACTAGTGTTTGGTTTTAGACACTAAAGTTCCATTTTAGACACTAATGTTCCTTTTAGACGCTAGTGTTTGGTTTTAGACACTAAAGTTCCATTTTAGACACTAATGTTCCTTTTAGACACTAGTGTTTGGTTTTAGACACTAAAGTTCCATTTTAGACACTAATGTTCCTTTTAGACACTAGTGTTTGGTTTTAGACACTAAAGTTCCATTTTAGACACTAATGTTCCTTTTAGACGCTAGTGTTTGATTTTAAACACTAGTGTTTAATTTTAGACACTGGTGTTCGATTTTAGACACTATTGTTTGGTTTTAGACACTGGTGTTCGATTTTAGACACTAGTGTTTAATTTTAGACACTGGTGTTCGATTTTAGACACTGGTGTTCGATTTTAGACACTAGTGTTTGGTTTTAGACACTAGTGTTTAATTTTAGACACTGGTGTTCGATTTTAGACACTAGTGTTTGATTTTGGACACTAAAGTTTCATTTTAAACACTAACGTTCCATTTTAGACACTAATGTTCTATTTTAGACACGAATGTTCTATTTTAGACACTAATGTTCCATTTTAGACACTAGTCTTCGATTTTAGCCGCTAGTGTTCGATTTGAGACGCTAACGTTCGACTTTATACATCAGTGTTCGATTTTAGACACTGTTGTTCGATTTGAGGCACTAACGTTCGATCTTAGACACTAGTGTTTGATTTTGGACACTAGTGTTTAATTTTAGACACTGGTGTTCGATTTTAGACATTAGTGTTCCATTTTAGACACTAGTGTTCCATTTTAGACACTAGAGTTTGGTTTTAGACACTAATGTTCCATTTTAGACACTAGTGTTCGATTTTAGACTCTAGAGTTTGGTTTTAGACTCTAATGTTTCATTTTAGACGCTAGTGTTCGATTTTAGACACTAGTGTTTGGTTTTGGACACTAATGTTCCATTTTAGACCCTAATATTCGATCTTAGACACTAGTGTTCGATGTTTGACACTAGTGTTCGATTTTAGACACTAGTATTCGATTTTAGACGGTAGCGTTCGTTTTTTGACACTGTTGTTCGATTTGAGATACTAATGTTCGATGTTAGACACTAGTGTTCGATTTTAGGCACTAATGCTCGATTTAGACATTTTTGCTCGTACCCCATTTTTGCTCTTACCCCATTTTTGCTCCTACCCCTCCCTTGTACCCTTCAAACTTACCACGTGTTAAAAAAACGCACACTTCTTATGGAAAATTGTCCAAACTCGGCTACCGGAAAAATAGCACCAGTGCCACAATGTCGATGGATTGCATCGAAAATTTTGCTTAATTCCTCGATACTGGAAAAAGACTCTGTTACAACCAAAACATAATCTTAAATTTACGGCACCACCCGTGTAGTAATGTTGATTTTCATCAACTCTTCCCCTCCTCTGCCCTCTCGTGCCTCTACCTATCATGAATATCGCGCTTGTATACAAATGATAATTGTCAAATTTTGAGATAAGGTTTTAGAAATATCAGCATGAATCAGCATTTTCTCGATAGGGCGCAGTTTTTGACTTGAGCTAGTCGGTCTATTTTCTTGGTTGCCTCAGTATTGATAATAGTTCCCCTTTCCCCTCCATCAAGAAAGGAGATCAGAGGGAGGCTCAAGCTAAGAAACTTCGCTCGATTTGAATCAGCATTTCCATGTTTACCCTGGGCGATTTCAAGAGCCTCAGAGCTTTACTCTCACAAATTCTTTTCAAACATCACCGGTTTAATTTGAAAGGGGCGTTATCCGTTATCGAAATTTTCAGAGGTAGTATGGTCGAGGCCTAAGAGCGTTCATATTTGTCGGTTATTTTGTTATTTTGTGAGTGGTCTTCATTTTAGTTAAACCCGACAGGAAACAACGTCAAGAAATTCTACGCTTTTTGAATATTCATAAACCCCGGGCGTTTTTAAAC